TCGTTCAAGTTCATTTCAGTGTATTTATGGACGCCGTCACCCCCCCCCTCGCTCGTATTTGCTCGACTGCAACATGAGGGTGTTGTTCGCGTCAGTTTCAGCGTGTTTATAGGGTGATGGATTGGAACAACTGACTAATACAGAGCTATTTCACAATGCTAAATATATGAGATGCGTGAAAGATGTCCGAAGGCCGAGCAAGTAGCGAGCAACAGCAAGCGCGTCTGCCCTGTGCTGGTGTGTGTGTGTGTGTGTGGGCTCGCATGTGGCCGCGTGCGGGTGTGCACGTGTGATGTGCGTAACAGCAGACACACATGCACGTAGGTACGTACGCACTCGCGCACGCACGCGCACGTGTACACAGCACGACCATAATAACAAACTGCTAAGGCAGATATCTAAGAACCTCTGAGACATACCGAAGACACACAGACATGTATGACATATATCAGACATTAATGATAAATGCTAGCAACACGTTCCTGTGAATGGCTCTGTGCCTGCATGATGTAACTGTCGGATGAAAAGGTGGTGAATTATGAGCAACCACGTCACAACCACGGTCTGCTGCATACACGCGTTTTTTTTTTACTCGGGCACTAATGCTACAGATGGGATCAGTACTGATAGACACTACACATAACCTGGGCACCTAACTCAGTATGAATGCACATAGGCAGTGCTAATAACACCTCACCTAAATATGGTACCTACTAGTCTTATTGTTAGATTTAAATTAAGGTGCCACCCAGATTCAAACTGAAACGACGAAACGAATTATAAACCGTGTGCATGCGCTCTGTTGTATATTCAAGAAATTTGTGCAATGGCGCATTATGCAGAGCTGCGTATTCTTTTTTTTAAGTCACGTCATATATTCACGATTAAAGTTCGTACTAGACTATAATCATATATATATATATATATATATATATATAGCGAGAGAGAGAGAGAGAGACATATAGAAATATATATATATATAGATCAGGTAGGAATATAGATATACGAAGGTAGGAATATAGATCAGGGAACCTATTATCTACTCCTGATATATATATAGACACACACACACACACACACACACACACACACACACACACACACACACACACACAACACAACGACACGACACACACCACACACACGACACCACACACGACACACAGTGCACACACACACACACACACCACACAACACACACACACACACACACACACACACACACGCACACCGGCACACACCGCCACACACACACACGACACACACGATGCCACACACACACACACACACACACACACACACACACGACACACACATCACACACACACAACAACACACACCACACACACACACACACACACACACACACACACACACACGACACACACACACACACATAAAATAATTATAATATATACAATTATTTTATATATATATTATTTTAAAATATTATTAATATTATTATCTTATAATATAAAATATTAATATATTTTATTATAATGATTCAATCAATATATATTTAAATATATTATTATAATATTTAATTAAAATATTATAATATTAATATATAAAATATTATATTTATATAAATATAAATATATTATAAATATATAATTTAAATTAAATTTTATATTAATAATAAATTAATAGAATATATTATAATATTTTATATTAAATTTAAAATATATTATTTATTTATAATATATATATATAGATCAGGTAGATACGTACGCTTATCGTCTCCTATTAGCAAAACAGGTCAGAGCATCTTACATACACTACGTACACACATTGATTACATTATTATTCATTACTCATTCATTATGATTACAATCATACATTAACCTTCTGTAGTCTTTATAAACAATGTTGAAAATTTATGCTACTATATTCTACGATACGGGTTCGAGTATGCTACACGTCCATCCACAGATTTATGCTAATGTCAGAAAACCTACATAGACATGAACTAAAGGCCTACGTACGCCGCGCACAACTCACCCCCTTTGGCTAGAACATAGAAATATATAAAAGTGCTGCTCTATATACTGTCTATGATAGAACAACTCCCCTAGGCTCTATAAACACACATACACGCACGCACGCACGCACGGCCACGCAGCGACGCACACACACACACACACAACACACACATGACACCACATCACGCACGGCCGCCGCGCCACACGCCACAGCACACACACAACACACACACACAATACACACCACACCACACACACACACACACCACACACACACACACCACACACACCAAACACACCACACACACACACAACACACACACACACAACACACACACCACACCACAAACACACACAACACACAAACACCACACACACACACACACACACACACACACGCACACACACACACACACACACCACACACACACACACAACATATATGGATAATGAGATGAATATATATATATATATATATATATATATATACATATAAAAACATCTATTTCCTAAAACCTCTGGAAATCTATTTCCTAAAACCTCTGGAAATCTATTTCCTAAAACCTCTGGAAATCTATTTCCTAAACGAGAGAGCATCGCCGCTGTTACGAAAGCGCTATTCGTGGGAATCTCCCTGCACCGCCGGGCGTTCACTTAATACTCGCTGCACGGCACGTGCCTGCATGTAATGTCTACGAGTAAATTACTCGAACCTTTCCGCAAAGAGTTGCTGACTGACTTGCTTCTAAAATTTATTGCGTGGGTTATTAATGGCCACGTACGCGACTGCTACTCTACACATGTTGGGTGATGAGACGCAAGATGACCTTCTATTGCCATTTATGGTCCAGGAGAGGAATGAATGAAGGCATTAGGTATAGTGCGCGTGTGTGTGCGCGTGTGGGTGGGTGGCCTACATTGCTTTTCTTTGTAGGGCGACACGCTCAGTGACATGTGTAGCAACATGTTACAACTCTTTATATCAGTATCCGGTAACACAGGGTATAAAATGATCTCTGCATCAATTTGATACTGCGAAATTCTCTCTGGAGAGAATCGAGAATCACGTGTGCCTCTGCTACCTGTGAACGTTTAAATTCGACTTTTGATTCTGTGAACGTAACATGCAACTGTGAGTTATAATGCAAGTATATAATGCCTACGCAGGAATAACTTGTCATTATCTACCCCCTGATATACGTATGCTGAGACATCGAATGAATCACCCGCAAAGTCGCGCAAGTCCTCTATAGATATTCAGCGGACAACTTTCTGAGAACTTTTTAACAAACAGCGCTTTGTAAAACGCCTGTTACGTAAAGGTGTAAGCTCGGGTACTATATGCAATCATACAACACCATACCTTGTTTCCCTCGAGAATGTTTGTTCAGCTTCAATTTCAAAACACTTCTATTTTGCATGAATATGTACATACGGGAAAAGGAATGCGTGGGCATCACGAAGACACCTGCTGAAGTCTAA